AAAGCCGAGAAAATGAATGCTTTCCGTGTCTCTGTATCACGCAAGGCTAAACCTCCACCGGTAGTCGAACCGCCTACAGAACTACCCACAATCATAGTCCCTCGCCCTGTAAAGCCGACCTTTACAACCGACAAACTCTCGGCGCTGGCGGACTTGAGGGTCGCCATGAAGCAATGGATTGGCGAGTTTACTGACGAAGGGCCGTATGGCGAAGATGTTGTTGCATTGATCAAGTATCTCAGAAAGGTCGTACTGGAAGAAAAGGACATCAGCAAGGCTGTTGGTATGGTGAAATGGATCGACTACGTCATTAATTACGAGGCGGAAAAGGACGAAAACTTTTCGAAAGAGCCATGGGAAACAGCTCTTGCGAAGATCAAGGACGGCGTCGTCAAGGCGGTGAAAGAGAGAGGTTTGGGCCGAGTGTCTTTTGACTAGTCTATGTATGTTTCACGACCTATCACGAATGAACGAGCCATGCCACGCTGCAGTATGTGCGCCAGGTTCGGGTGACACGATGATACCCGACACTTGGGTATCACCAAGAGAGAGTACATTCCACCCAACTTCCAAGGTGCATCATGCGGTCCATAGACATGGACACAAAGGCAACTTTGCGCTAGCACCCGGCAATAAGTTCAGTCATGACCTATGACAACAGACATATGACTAGGAATCACCCCCATAGTAACATGTCGTCAAGAAATCCTAGCTCTTCTTCCTGAGCTATAAAGCTACCTATACTGTTCTACTTTGTCTATTCTTCCGCATTTTCAAGCAGAAGATCGCTGAAACCTACCAATCAATCACACATTCACACCACGATACCAATAGTAGCCTCCAGCGGTACGTTAGCACCAGAAACTGCCGGTCGCGATGAGATTCTGGACCACACTTACGATAGCGGGATTCATGGGGGTAGTATCTACTACCCCGAATGACCTCACCCCATTAAGGGTCTCTACAGGCATTGCAGTGGCGGTGGCTCCCACAATCGTTACAAATCACGTTCCGAGATCGAAAACTCGCTATCGATCTATCCAGTTCCTGCTTGAGAAGATAGATCAAAAACTAAACTGGATGTCCTTCGTCGGTCCTGGAGGCGAAGCAGTCGATCCCTGTGCGCCCACGTCCTCCTCCGCACCCTTCCAGGGCCTCCATCGATGGTGGCCGACAAACAAGCCTGAATTCACTGGGACTAAAGATGAGCAAATCCCCGACATATACCTTGAAAGGATGCCGGAGGTGAGTCTTGCAACGCTATATGATACTAGGTGAAGCATGTGGCTGACACATGTATCCCTCTAAAGCCCGATGAAAGCCTTCCGATCACTATCAACGGTCAAGATAACTGCTACTACTCGAGCGACGGCGCGCAAAAGACTTGGATCGAGTGTGACGACAAGCACTTTGACCACTGTGGATTCGATCCGCAGATCAAAGATCCGGAGATACGCTGTGATAACGGCCGTCGGTACCGTCGCGTGTTCTTTTGCGACTTTGATGAAGAGGTGCCGAAGGAATCATCCTAGCATTGGGCTGTCTGAAGAGAGTGGCTAGAGGCGCTGGGGGTAGCACTTGCCGGATCCAGGTCCTTCCAATTACACCCTTTTCGTTCATACCTGCTAGCATGACTGCCCGTTGTACTACCAGCCGCATTTCTTCTTAGCCATAGTTGATACTGTATAGGAACATGGAGACTGTGAGACATGGAAGAGCCCGCTATTCATTCAGTCTTGGTGTTACTGTGATACCTAGGTACGTTACCTGACTTACCCAGGTAGGTGCTCTACGCAGTATCAGAACATGACGCAATAATCGCGCCACGTGCTGCCCGATCACATGATCACAGCACTCTTTCACCCTTGACGTTCGCACTCACTGTTGGCAGGCCCCCGGTTGCTGCTTCCCCACTTGCACTTCCATGATCCACGATTTTTAGTCCTTCGCCAATCTAAGCTTAGGCGCTTATCTACTCGGCTCTCACCTTCACCCGCGCTTTCTTTCTGCTTTACAAAACCTAGCCAAGCTACTGCCATTTAACCCCCCAACTTACACTCGTCATGTTTTCGTGGCTCCCTTTACTCGTTTGGCTTGTCGCGTATCTGGTCGCGCCAGGTATCGCGGTACCTCTCGAGGTACCTAGCCCGCACGCACTCTCGAACAGTACATCAATGGCAACATCTGATGGAGCGATGGTCAGTACTTCATTTCAGTGCTCCTCAACAAAGCAAGACTGACCTTAGTACAAGCATATCCGCGACCCCAGAAAACTGAACTCCATCCAAATTATCCTCAGGAAGCAATCTCGGCTCTCAGCAAGAACAGAATACTATTACCACTTCTATGAGGGCCCTTCTGGTATGGCCGCGCCACTCTGCAGCCTGGGATATGGCATGAAAGACTTCCACCCTGTCGAATCTATGGGTCCATATTACTACAAAGGCGACCCAATCAAGAAGCCCCCGTTTCCGCCGGAGGTGAGTCTGCAGAACACTGGCATGATCTGTGTCTTTTATCGATTCGTTATGAGCAGGTACTGACTTTACGCGGGATAGATGACTTTCCCTTTGGATCTCCCAGGCAAATATGTCGGCTGTCAATATACCTCAACAGGCGGCGATCCAGGCTGGCTTGACTGCGGCCCGGGTCGTGACATTCTGCATTTCGACCAAGATGAACGGTATTTAGAACCAGCCCAGGAATGTGACTGGAGAGAGAAGGCATGGGATCATCGCGGTTTCTTCGTGGATACTTAGGCGCGTCTATCAACAAGACGTTGTGCTCGAGGATGGCTGAGGCTGGAACATGCGCACAGCGCAGAGCGGAGATACTCTACATTGTGCGAAGGAATGCATGCATATGCCGCTCAGTCTCTCCTCCGTTTACTACAGTGCAATGTCTTAATACTTCCATACTACGTTTACCATTACTAGTGAAAGACCCTGTGTTTGTTTGCAACATTCCTTTGTCTCCCGCAAACGCTCGACCGCTGCTCTTCACAGCTCACCGCTTCTCTACCCCACTTTGAAGACTCAGTACTACAAGCCATCGACAAGCATTAAACCTACGTCGAATCTTCTCACCCAGTTCTTTTTCTCTCCTCAGCGGAACACAAGACCAAGACCAACTTTCGATTCGCCATGCTCAATCTACTCACTTCGCTTGTCTGGCTACTTGCCTGCCTAAGCCTTGTCCCAGCAGTGCCTGTCGACACGCTTGCCGGTAATGTCACATCCATGGCAAGGCGCGACACTGCGAATGTATGTTTATCAGCCTTTTTGACGCAATCTTGTAGCACTCTTGCTAATGAAGCTAACTAGGCATCTCCATATCCGTACTCCCTCCAGCTCATCCTAAGTAAGTTCCCTGTTCGCCGATACAACTGGTTCATCTTCCAGGGACCCCAAGGAATCGCAGTGGATCCTTGCCTGGACCCTAAAGATGATCCGAACTTCGAGCGGGTCTACTTCGGAAGGGAACTCGCTGGCGAGGAGGACGATATCGCCCATCCGCCGTTTCCCCCTCTCAGTGTAAGTAGAATATTCTTAAACTCTTTGCTGAGTATCGCATGCTAACTCGCACTCTCTTATAGGTATACGCTGACATCGAGTATTCCGAAGACTGCCATTACATTGGTAGCGGCGTCGACGCTGGTCAGTTTCGATGCGGAGATTACTACATCATCGATTGTGCGAAAGATCCGCGCTACAACGAGGCAACCTTCAGATGCCCGGATGGTCGGGAATATCACCGCGGATATAACTGCGAGTTCTGAGGAGGCAGGCTAGATGAACCCGGGCTGATGGCAAGCGTATGCAAGGGTTAACCGTATGGTTCAAGTAGGCTTATTTAAGTGGCCATCTCACCCAATGTATGCATGTAGGGTAAGGAATGCACCCGTCCTCAAGCAATATATTCGTCCTCGAGCAATATATTCGTCCTCAAGTAATGTATTTGTCCTCAAGAAATGTCCTCTTCCTCAAGAAGTGTAAGCGTGGAGACAGGCTCGTGACCGACTTCGGACGCGTTATTTGCCCTCTGACCATATCTTAGCGACTTCCGTTTGCTTCCTCTGAGACTAACTGCAATCGGCTCGACACACGTGCTACTCTTGCGCGGCTGCCTACTTAATGCACTCACTTCTCACCACGAGCTTGTCGAGATACCTAGCTCCAACGCCAATTCAGAATAACGCGTCTCCGTTCATACACACTACATCAACTCGGCACAGTCTGCCTACGAATCAATAGCAACTATGTCGTCCTTAATCACCTACCTCGTGTGGCTCTTCCTCGGCCTCGGCTTCGTTCTTGCCGCACCCGCTGAGCAGTTTGCAGACCACCCCACTGCCGTGAGTGCGCGATGGTGTTGAAGTCAAGCATCGTACTGACTGCGTTCAAGGGCCAGGGTCCGTATCCGTACTCCCTCCAGATCCAAGTCGAGGAGGTAGACACCAAGTACTACGTGTGGGACATCTTCCAAGGACCTAGCGGCGTGGCCGTGAACCCTTGTGGAGACACTCGCTTCGAGAAGGTCTATCATGGCGAGCCTGGATGGCACACCAACAAGCCAGACATGGACAGCCCTCCTTACCCTCAGAACTACTTGCCCTTCGTCCCCGAGGTGAGTTGGCTGCTATCTTTAGACGCTCACCGTACATACACTAACTCACTCTAGTTCGAGGTCCCGATCGAGTACGGCAACCGCGGTGACTGTGCCTACCACGCCACTGGCAAAGACGCGGGCCAGTTCCGTTGCGGCGACTACTACATAATCGACTGCGCCAAGGACCCTCGATATGGACAACAAGTTTCCTGCGGTAACCCGCGTCCACGCTACGCTGTGGCCTGGTACTGCGAGTTCTAGAGGTTGGATAAAGAATTTGATGAAGAGCGATCGTGAGGGTGGGCAAGGCGCAGCTTGAGATGTGACTGCATGTCTCCTTCGTACCATACCCATGAGGAAAATGAGCCGTTCTACGTAGAATCAATGAACACATGCCGTACTCTCTCAATCTCTCTCTTACTCTCACTATTACCACCATGTAAGTCAAAGCGCGTAGGTCTGTGGTATCATTCCGTCAGCCGTACCACCCGTATCGCCCGTCTTTTACCCGCCCTTTGTCCACCAAGCCGACTAGGTGCTCGCTTGTTCCTAAAGTGGATGTGATATATATTTGACTCACTGACTCACCATAGACCCTGCTTCTACTTCCAATATCCATTAAACTCTGACTCTGAACGCCTGAAGACTTACACCAACACCTCCCTCGTCATGCTCGCGTGGCTCACCCTCCTCATAGGTCTGTCCGTCAGCCTCCTGTTTGGCGTGACCACTGCAACATCTGCCCAGTTCTTGAGCCCTGAGCAGCAGTACAACCGCACCGCGCATGGCCTGGTATGTATAAATTATCCCGTAACGCGACACCTCACTGACCTCATATCAGCCAGCCGCTGTGTTCACCAATTCAGTCCAGATCACCCTTGCACGTTATTCGTACGCGGATTACTACTGGGATCTGTACCTCGGCCCCTACGGTATCAAGGTGAACCCTTGCAAACCAAGAGATAACGGCTTCAGGTCTGGGGTGAGAGGGTCGTCGGAATTGATGCACTATGAGCGCGATGACATCGACAACCCTCCAGACCCACCCGCGGTGAGTAAATTTGTTGTTTGTACATTGGAAGCGCACATGAAGCTGACGGTAGAGTAGTTAAAGATAGGTCTCCCTGAGTGGAACGGCAACGACGACTGCAACTGGGAGACGAAGGGCCACGGTGATGTTGGTCAACTCATATGTGGCGACTGGCTGATCTACGACTGCGAGCGAGATGCGAGTTGGGACGATGGAGCAATCAACTGCCACGGCTGGTCGGTCCATCGGGGATACGCCTGCAACTTCTAGGCTGAGGTTCTTTGACCGCGCTGCACAAGTCGGCAAAGGAGTCTTTTGTCGCTTGAGAAGCGTATTGAAGGTCCTGAGATGGAGGATTCTGTTTATGCGACAGGTGAAGTATCGGACTTGCTCTGAGTAGTTAGATACGTCGTATTCGACCTAGCTATACCCGAGAATGAGAGTAAGTATTGCTTCCAAACACGCATGCCCTTATTCTGTTTGCTTCGAAGTGCGCTAGTGACTGAAAGAAGCTGCTTTCTGGTTCGTTTGGCTGTATGCTTTCGGCGTGCGTTGTTCAGTTTTTGAGGGTGTCACTGCTTACGTGTCAGTTACTCGGTTCATCTTCGCTTGTAGTATGTAAGCCCACCCCGCTGCTTAAACATACCCTCCTCTCCCAAACGGCTCTCAAAAGCGAAAGTCAAGTAGCACACCGACTGCTATGCCGTTAAACATGCGGACGCTCACCTCATTACTTGTCGGCCTAGCCGCTATTCCCCTCTGCACGACTTTCGCTACACCCGTCGAGTACACCCCCGTACGGAGGTCAGATAATGGTACTGATTGGCGCCCCTTGGTCGGTTTTGTAAATACCACGATAGACTTCACCGCTAAATGCGAGTTAGGACTACTATGACTCCTCGGTCCAGATCCTTCTCCTCCGATCATCCGGTACAGAGTACTATTGGCAAATGTACCAAGGCCCAGCCCTAGTATCCGTGGATCCTTGCGGCTACCCAGACCCCTTCAAGGTCGCGGATTTTCAAGGCGTGTACCATTACGGACGAGACGCGATTGACAACCCTCCGCAAGCTCCTGCCGTAAGTCATGATATCTCTTGCGCAAGCTTTCGGCAGTTGATGGAAATACGCGGTGGCTGACAGCATATCCCTAGATGGATCTCAAACTCTTGAAGTGGATGGACCATGATGATTGCGTGTGGAGAACGCAAGGCAACGGAGACATTGGGCATGTAGTTTGTGGTGATTGGATGGATATGCCCTGCGAGAAGGACGGGTCGTACGACCAAGGCGTATTGAACTGCCATGGAAGGTCTTTCCACCGTATGTACGCTTGTAGGTACTGAGCGCGGTTGAATGAGGTCCTGGTCGCAAGCGGGTTAACTTCGGGGTCGCGTCAGGGAAATTGGGGGGCTGGTAGGCGCTTCTGATCGAGGCCCCTTCATTCCACAGCTTTGGGTACCCGCAGTATGCACATTGCGATGGCGTGTTTCGCATGATCAAGAATCCTGTTCATTAACATTTTCATGCGCACCTGACCATCGCTTGCCAACCTTTGGGAATTTCGGCGACTTGCCTGGTCTCGCGGTTGGAGGAAGCAGAGATCTGAGCTGGAGCGTGCACGGTCAGCTGATGACGACACTTACTAAGCCCCAAGTAGTTAGCATGCATAGCCCTCTTCGCGAAGTGAGTTCAGTTTCGATCTTTTCCTCATCGTCTACATCTTCGCCAATTGTACTTTCCGAGTTCCCAGAATTCGCATATCCCGGCACCTAGTGCACAAGTGCCACATTAGTCGAACTTAAAGTGTTGGCTTCTTCCGAGTATTCACTAGACCACGAGCCGAATGCGAGTATAGTATAATGCCGTATCGGTGCAGCCGAGGATGTCTTTTCGTCTTCGTCGATATGGTTGGTTAATAAGATCAGTAGCAGGATATGAACAGGATGGTTATAAGGAAATCCAGAGCTTCTGGCATATGAAGTTCCATTCACAATCATCAGTGTCAACACCGAATCGCTTACTCTTTTCGAGCTTGTTGGGACAATCCTTTTCTCACAATCTATTAGCTGCCTCGCAATATGGAAGCCTCTCTATACTACTCGTCCAAAGGGCCAGAAAATGCTACCGCCTTCGTCAATGGACGAGTATACACCATGGACGATGCGCAACCATGGGTTGAAGCCTTCATCGTCAATCCCGACGGCAAGTTTGAAGCTGTCGGCTCGAACGAGGAGATCAAAATCATTGCTAAAAAAAGAGGACTCGTTCAGTACCAGCTACAAGAGAAATTCGTCATGCCCGGTATCCACGACGCGCATACTCACCTCTTAGCGGCTGGATGCCAGCGCACTGGGGAAGCGCACGTCGGCTGGGATAGCACCGACAAGACCCTCGCCAGCAACATAAAGTCAGCTTCCTGTGCCTGCGCTTTTTCAAATGTCATGGGCAACTGGATCATCGGCAACTTTTACCAGGCAAGCAACTTTGCCGATGGCATTCCCGACAGAAAATACCTCGACGAGCTGTACCCCAACGACCCCGTAATCGTGCGCGAGATATCCTGCCATCGAATCCTCATGAATTCTGCTGGGTTGCGTGAGATGGGAATCGACGACGACGTCAAGGACCCGCCTGGGGGTTTCTTCTTTCGTCGACCTGATGGCACACTCACCGGAGAGATTGTCGAGGCTGCAACAACGCCAATCTGGCGTGGTCTACCGCGCACTCCACTCAGTTATGCCAAGACTGTTATTGAGTTTGCCATGTCTGAATGTCATAGGTATGGCATTACATCCGTGCAAGAGGCATCGGCCAACACCGTCTACCTACACGCCGTGCGTGAGCTGGAAGCGGAGAATCGCCTGCCCTTAAACATACACACACACATTGTTGCCGCACCGGAGAAAGCTCACGAGCGTGAGGAATCACTAGCAGCTCTGCTCAATGTTGCAGAAGCTTTTGAGAGCAAACATGTTCACACGAGCTTTGTCAAGTTCTTCCTCGACGGCGCTCCGCTTCCTCCACAGTCCACCCAATGCGATTTGAACGACCATGGAGCGCCCGATGCTAAGCATTTGCTGTTGAGCTACGACAAGCTACTCGAACAAGTTCTCAAATACGATGCTCGGAACATGACATGCAAGATCCACGCCGCAGGCGAGGGAAGCTTGCGGCTTGCGCTGGACGCCTACGAGGCTGTGCGAAAGAACAACCCCAACGGTCCCAAGCACGAGGTTGCGCATTGTAATGCAGTCCATCCAGGTATGTGAAGCCATCCCTGGGCATCCTTCGCGAGATCTTCATGCTAGCAAACTAACTTATGCTGTAGATGACATCCCACGGATCGCACGCCTGGGCCTTACCGCCGAAATGTCCCCGGCAATTTGGCACCATCCCATTGTGCAAGCAGCGCCCCATCTGCTCAAGTGGCCCTTCAACGATATTCTGGCTACAGGCGCTCGTATGACGATTGGCTCGGATTGGATCTTGACTCCCAACCCGAGTTTGTTCGATCCACTTGCACACCTGGTGGAGAGACTTGAAGTGCCTGAAACACCAGCCCATAAGGGATTGAACAAAAGGCTGGTAGCCGCTGCAACGCTCTGCCGTATGATCACGTTGGGAGGTGCAGAAGCGGTGGGAAGAAGTCGCACGCAGGGCAGCATTGAAGTTGGGAAGATGGCAAACTTCATTGCTGTTGACCAGGACTTGAGTCAGGGAGAGTTTGCTGGAGCTACAGTCTTGAAGACTTGGTTTGAGGGACGACAGGTGTATAGTTCTGTGCCGGGCCAGTTGGGGTTGAAATGTTGATGGCTTGGCCCTCTGTAGATTAGCCCCGCCATCAGCGCATTTCATTTCCAGCAATGAAGAGATCCGCGGCTTTGGCTATCCTCGCCTCAGTGATTGGCATCTTCAGTCTCAATCTTCTCTTCTTCATCGACTTCTCCAACCAGTGTGTATCCTTGAGGTTCCTTCACAGCCGCAACGAATATAACGCTCCCCACGATCAATGCCGCACCAGCGAACTTCCACCATCCCGGCTCCAGTCTCCATACAATCTTATCCGCTAACATAGCGAACACCACCTGCAGATTTACTATGTGAAGCGCTCTCTTCGAATCGCCGGTCATCAAGCTCGCTGCCAGGAGCCAATGCATAGCGAACCCCAATATGCCCAACACGCACACGAACAGCCATCCTACGGCGGTAGATGGGAAATTCAAGCCTTGTTGCTGTATGATGAGTGATGCCCAGCTGAGTAGCGTACAAATGGGCGCAAAGTATGCAACCGTTGTCATCGGGTGTACGTGCTCTCCTAGACACGACATCGTTAAGAAAGAGACTGCGCCGCCGAAGACACCGATAAGTGCCGCACCAATGGCCAGCGCATGTTCTCTAGGCGTATTCGTTATATGAGCGCTCCATGGCTGCAATACGCAGAGTACGCCAATGACCGCAATTAGAGCTGCGAGAATTTGAGCGACAGAGCAGCGCTGCTGACCTGGTAATAAGCCGAGGAGAAGAGCTGCGAGAATTGGCGCGAGGAAGTTGATCAGAGTCGCCTCAGCTAATGCGAGATAGCGCAGAGAGATGTAGAAGCCCCAGATACCGAAGAAACCCGCAACGCCTCTTACGACGAGTAGAGGGCGCAGCTTAGGAGGACCAAATGCACCACCGGGAATGGCTGCCGGGGACAGTAATATGTACGTCCACGACAGAATGGTGATGATCGACATCATAACAATGAGTATCTGGAGAACATTAGTATTTGCGTAGGTGGACGGGGAGCATATTCCCATACCTCGGAAGTACCGACTGTTGTGGTGCCTGAGCCGTCGCCGCTACGCTGCGTTCCCAGGATGCGTCCCAATGTCGCCAGGATAGTGGAGCATACTTGCGCCAAGAGCATGAGAATAATGCCGGCATTATTATGAAGGATAAGATCTGCGCTGCTCGCAACACCATGGATTTTATTTGTTATTGATGTAGCTGAAATCATGGTGTTGTGATGGGGAAGGTGTACGGAAAGCTCTCCGATGGAAGACGAGCTCGGGATGCAGGAATGTGAGACTTTACGTGTATTTGAAGTGTTTCACGCCTCCTTTCAGCACAACCTTCCCAAATGCGCAGCGGAACAATTCCTGTATTCTTTACCCTTGGTCGCGTTAATTGAAGAAGGAAATATGTGCCTTGAAACTCAACAATGCGGCTTTGGTGCGTTCTGCCGCACGTGCATCAACAAATTGCGGTTTGCGCAAAGGCTGCATCATAATGTTTTTGTTAATAGACTCAACAGGAGGCTATTCCATCTGCCTCGCACGCGGTTGATGATGAAGTTGAGCTTGTCATTTACTACCTCGTTAGCAAAGACGAGGGTCCGAAATGTATATCCAGCCCACTGCCGGTAACTGGACCCCAGCCATCTTTGCGGCATCGAGCAGGATTCTTACATGCGCCAGAAGGTTATCGCTAAATATGTGCGACACTCACTATGGCTGTGAATCTTCGCCGGTGACCCCTCATACCTTCTCTTATCCTTGACATCGAACCCGTCCTTGTGCAGAGTGCGTACTATCTTCCCATGCGTCCTTCGTGATGCGCCAGATCCACTCATTCCCAAACAACTTATCTTCTATTGCGTCAGCCGGAAATCCGAGCTTCTTGTTCATCAATCCCTTGAACGCAGTATTAGCATCTACACAAGCTATGTGTATCTCATCCATGCCCAGGACAGCAAAGCCATGATCAATGGCCATACACAACGACTCATAGCCGTAGCCTGAGCCACGATAACATGTGTCCAACATCAAGCCTGCGTCACCAATCAGCTTGCCATCAGTCTTTCTTCTGCCAATCCAGCCCAAGCCGCCGGTGCCGACAGTCTTCCCATCTATCTCGATAACGATGTTGGCACGCTGCAGTGGTAAATCGACGACCTGCCATTGCTTGATCAAATGCTCAATGGCGTCACTACTGTCAAGACCGGCACATGACTTGTCGTGCTGGACATTGCGATCGTCGGTGAAGAGTCGTAGGAGTGCAGAAGCGTCGTTCGTGTTAGGAAGGCGGAGATGCAGTTGGGGAAACGTAAGCGATGTGATACGTAAGTCGCTTTCACCTTCGGACGATAGATTCGTCGAATGTGTGTAGAAGACGGTACTACCGGTGGCGACAAGCGCAGGGTATTCAGTCCCTGCAGGCATGGTCTCGGGGTTTCAACGGGCTGGGTAACACTCAGAGAATCGAAGGTTTGCGCAATTGACTAGTGTGGTGTATGCAGATGGGTGCGCATACATCAGCTTCTCCGTCGATGCAACGTACGTTGGGCGTGATTGTGCCCGCCTCCGATGACGTGACGGCGTTCATCCGCGTTGACTTTAGGTATGATGGCAGCCAACAGATCAAGGCCCTGTTTGTTTCTGCTGAGTAGACTGACTGCTGACTGCGATCACAATACTTGCCGTAGTCGGTGAAGCTCGGTGAGGCTCCGACGAGGGTATTCCTGTGGGTGATGGTGTGCGGCACATTTGCGGCATGGGGCTTGGTGCCTCTACGCTATCCTGGAAATGGAAAATTGCACGTGGCCCCAGCTCAAACGTGAAAACAAAGGAGATGACGGCACCTGCATGCTTCAACACCACCTTCCTCCTTGTGCATATGCCGGAGTGGAGTGTATGCAAACATCATCTCCAAGGTTCCAGAGCCCGATAGGGCTTGCTCTTCCACCAAAAACATGCTGTGGGTAGCTGGCAAAGGGTTTTAGGTCAGCTCAATTCTAGCTTTCACCATCGTGCTGAAGCCTGGACATATCAGAGCTCACGACAACTTCAACGACGTACAACGTCTTGCATTACAATGTCTCTTCTCTGACCTTTGTACCAGGTTGTCCACATTGGGCTGACATAGTAGCGGCTATTGCACGCATGCTGGACGAACGGAGAGTGGCGGTGTCAGAGCATCGCTAGGTACCAGATTATCGCGTCGCCATCCCCAACAGACTACGTATATGTACACTCATTCGTTTGATGCCTGTCGCACGAATCCCGGGGTACCAGACGCCGTGTGATCATCGCCAAAATTTGTCTCGCGTTCGCATTAGACTAGAGATAAACTACTGCGCGACTATGCGTGGAACTCATTTCCTCTACACGACCGCTGTGGCAGTATACTGTGATTCGAAGCAACGTGGATGGTGAGATGGGTCACAGTCTTGCTACTATAGAAGGATTGGCTCTCGCCGCAAGGGTGTCGGCTCAGATGCACTGAACGCGCAACGCAGATCTTCCAGTCGCCACTTGCAAGACAAGATACACTTTCAAAGAGATCTGTCAATGGAAATTGTTGAGGCTAAACCTGTAAAACCGCCTACAGACTTCAATTGCGTCGCTTATCTGAGTATGTGCTTTGTCTCTAAGCATGTCTTTAGCTGACAGCGTACAAATCCTTTGCCGATGACGATGATGATGTTGAGGCCCATCTTGTGGCTTGCAGGGGGCTTCTGATTCAAAGAAGCATCGGAAAAAGTAAGACATAGTCTACAGACACGGCATCCACTTGGCTAACAGCCATGATCGCTTGAGGTGATGATGGTCGCGGTGCAGCTGCAGGAAGTAGACATGTTCCAGCATTTCCTACACCGCCGTATATAAGACTCAACCTCTGCGTCTATTCTAGCTAAAGCATTCTTCAGTATCGACCGTCTGATCCAGAGTACATAAGATCATTTTCCACTGCATCCCGCAAGAAGTCATTGCCTTCAATCCCAACTTCTGATTACTTGTGGAAAGACTCAACCAGAGTTTAGCCAACAAGGTGGTCGCATCACTATGGCCGTCACAAGTTCACAACAACAGCGTGCGCTCATTCTTGATATCGGCGATGTGCTGTGTCACTGGTCTATCGAAAATCTCACTGCCATCTCTCCTCAAAGTCTCCACGCCATCACCCGATCGCCAACCTGGAGCGAACTGGAACGCGGCTGTATTAGCGAGACAGAAGCCATCCGAGCTATCAGCAAGGAGCTCTCTCTCGATCCTGACGCCATCGATACCGGGCTCATGGAATGCCGCAAGACATTGCGCGTCGACCAAGAGCTCACATTCCAACTCAAAGAGCTCAAAGCTGAGCTAGGTGACCATCTCAAGGTTTATGCCATGAGCAACATTGCCAAGGAACATTTCGCCTTTGTCAAGACCGTACTATCCGACTGGGATCTGTTCGACGGCGAGTTTTTGTCCTTTGAGGTTGGCATGACGAAACCTGATCTACA